ATATAAGTGCGAAGTAATCCGACTAACCGTCATTCTGATATGACCCGAGAATTTGATCAATCAATTTAATTCCAGTAAAAAAATAACTACAACCGCTAACGTCGCCATGTCATAAAAGGACAATCTTCGCACATTGGCACTAGATGAACAAAGCTTCTTCTGTGCTGATCTCGTCTCACAATGTGAAAAGGGTTGCCGCTTAAAATCGGTTCGCACCGCTCAAGTGATCAGCGACTTGAGCAAGTTGTTGTGCCACGCGTCGCTCTATATGTAGCGGACCCGTTCAAAATTCGCCACATGTCCCGATGATAATATTATTTATTGCTCATCCCCTTCATAAATAGTCATTAATTGTGGCTGAAAAACTTATTGAGAAACAAAGAAGCAAAACTCCTATAGCAATTAATAGCAGTAAAAGCTAGTTTCGCAAGCGTATTTAACGCGACCATTCAATCCTCCCCTTGTCTTTTTGTTTTTAAATTCTTTTTAAACTACTTTGTTGTAGTTTTGTTGATATCAAGTGTCAACAATAAGTATGTATATAATATGTAAAACATTATATGTTATAAGCTAACTTTAAATATTATAAATCTTAATTTTCTGATCAGTACTCCTCAGAAATTTAAAATTTGGACAATGTATTGTTGACAATTGGAAGTCCGATCGACATTCGAAAGATGTTGTTGGATTCTTTATAAAAAAACTTTCTATAAATATACGTTTCATGAAAATACATCGGCCAGATCTGTGGTGACATTTCGACAAAATTAAATGTGTAATTCTTTATTTTTTTCAAAATTTAAATAATAATTTAATGAAGTTTAGGCACAATCAACAATTCCACCTCTTCTTCCGGCGAAAAAACCCTAGCCCCCAATCCGTCCAGCTTCCTCTTCTTCCGGCGAATCCGCCTTCCTCAACGAAAGTCCAGCTCGGCTAGGGGTCGTCTCAACCGCTCCCTCCCTCCCCTGGCAAAGTGCGCCCCTATTACTGCTTCAGATGGTCCATTGACGGTGGTCTCAAATTCGCGAACGCCGATGGATTTCAGGACGGCGGTGGTGCACCTCAAGGTCGTAGTAAGGCCGGTGAGTGGAGGCTTCTCAGTTGCTGGTGGAGCTGCGATTTGCGAAGGTACGCCCTGTTTTCTATTTGTCAGTGATTGGCGGATTTGGCTGGCTCCGGCGAGTTTCACCTGTTCGGGTGGGACCCGGGCCTCTTGTCGTTGGATGTCCGTGGTGGTGACGGGTGGAGTGCGAGCTATAGGGTGGGGCGGGGCTCCGGTCACTGCGGTGTTTTGTTGCGGCGGTCGGAGAGGGGCCGTCTTTGACTTGCACTTTCCCCGTTTGACTAGTGGTGTTAGTCGGCCGGGTAGATTCTATTTGGTCTCGTCTAGTGGTGTTAGAAGTGCTCGGATGGAATCGGTGTGGGTTTGACTATGGCTCTCTCGGTTGCGATGGGTTGACTCGGGGAAGGGTTCGGAGTTAGATTTCTGCTATTGTATAGGCTTGGTTGCAGTTTCGTTAGCAGGTTCTTTGTCTGGATTTGTCTAGGGTCGATCGTTCTGGTTTGAGTTCGCTCGTTTTGTTGAGGAAGGGCTGTTATAGTTATTTAGTTTTTGTGTTAGTGCTTTTGGTTTTCGTAGTTGTGTTGTGCGTGTCTTGTGTTTTTTGGTTTGGGCAGTTGCCTCTGTGAGCCCGAGTGTCATTTTCATTACTCTGTTGGAGTCCGACACTCGGGAATGGCCCTGATGAGGCCTTTGTGTTTGTGTTGTTAGTTGGTGTTTTTTTAGTGTTCTTGAGTTTACCCCGTTGGGGTCGGTTCTAGGCAGGCATTTGTCCTGTCCTCCCAGTTTTTAGCTGTTAGCTGCTTGTACTCAGCTGTTGGCTGGTTGTGATCAGCTGGTGGCTGCTTTCTGCACCTTTGTGCGTTATATATAATATCTCTATCGTTTCGTAAAAAAAAAGAAGTTTAGGCACAATCATGATGAAATTAAACATGCCTCTAGAAACCGAATTGAGAGTTTCAAAATGATATATGGTTTATTGAAATCAACCATTGATAGAACAGATGGCGAACGGTGGCCGACGACTGCAGGTCGTTGTGAGATGGCCATTGAAGAAAGAAACTTTAAGCATTTCAATTAATATTACTATTATTATAATTTTTATGAAATCATTAAATACTAATTTTTTATATTTAATTAGATTATTTTATCAACTAAAAAATTTAATCTTAACAGTTCTATTTTTAATGGTAAATTGATCTTGTAGATTAAAAATGACTAACAGACAAAATGATGTCAAAAATAAAAAATAAAAAAAAATCAAAACTTAAATTTAACTCAACGTTAGGCCAATTCCATTTCCACTATACTTATTATTATCATTATAACTAAATAATATCTATCAATCTTTCTTATATATCGCATCAATTTTAACTAGTACGAATCTCGTGCGATGCACGTGTAAGAAATATTTATTAATATTTATGAATTAAAATTTCTCATTAAATAATAAATAAGTGTATTTGATAATATATTTTCATATTTACCTTAACTTATGGTGAATATTCAAAAGATATATTGCCATGTAAAATAAAGATCAAATTTTCTATATTTTGGTTGTATTGATGCGTTTCCATATCAAATTATTTTAGATATTATTGTATATTTTCAGTTTAGACTGTATTGATGCGTTATTTGAATTAAATTATGCTTACTCAAAATGAAATATTATATTTGCCTAAATTGAATGTCATAAAGAATATGTTATGGATGTTTAAAAATAAAATATTTGCTCTTAAATGGCAAATTTTGATAAATATATTTTAGACGAAAACACGATGTTACCAAAACTACAGATTATCATGGTATATTCAAGTGTTTTTACCAAATAAATCTTATCGGAATTATTCACCAAGAACCTAATCTCATTCTTTTTTTTTTGCCAAAACGATAGAGATACTATATTAAACCGCACCAAGTGCGAAGAAAAGGCAGCCAAGGGCTGAATAGTACAACCAGAGACTATAAAACTGGGAGGCAGATCCAAAGGATCGCCTAGAGCCGACTCCAACGGGGTAATACTCGGACAACACGCACTAAAACAACAAGAAACACAATCACACTAAACCAACTACACCAACAAAACTAAAAAGACCCCCAACGGAGTAATACCCGAGTGTCGGACCCCCACGGAGTAATAAGTTTGAAACTCGGGCTCACAGGGACCAACGGCCCAAACCTAAAACACAAAACGAACACAAATACAGACACAGACATAGGAAAACACTAAAAACGAATAACAACAATAACAAATAGCCCTTCCACGGCAAACGAACGGTTCCAGTCAGCGATGAACGATCGACACGGGTAAGATTCCAAGCCAGAGAAAACACTACCGAAACTGTACCAATGCCTATACAGTAGTCAAACCCGAGCCCCGAACAAACCCCGAATCAACCCATCTCCAACCGAAAGAGAATCGACCAACCCCCGCCTCGGCTCACCCGAACTCGTCTAACACCACTAGTCGAACTCAGGTTCCCCCGCCGCCTAACACCACTAGCCGAACAGGAAAGGTTGAAGTTAGGTCTATCCCTCAACCCCGGCCACCGCGCCTGAAAAGGCCGCAGCAACCAGAGCCCCATCCCCGTGAGGACTCGCACTCCACCCAACACCACCATAAGGGGCTCGATCGGAGGCCCAGGTCCCACCCCCCTAAAGAGGCGGAGCCCCGCCGAAAAAGCCGAATGCAAGAATTACCGACAAGGCGAAATTGGAGGGCTTACCGTCACAAATCGAAGCTCCACCGGCAAGTGAGATGAAGACTCCCGTCGCCAGCCAAACACCGACCCTGAAGGAGGCCACAATCGACCAGAACGCCGTCAGTAACCTCGAGCTCGGCCGCCAATCGCAGCCCTTCCATAGCGACATCGAAGGCGCACGTCGTCTGTATGGGATGAGCGGTCAATGATGACCCCTGGCCAGAGGCCCGCTGTCGCCGAAGAAGGCCAGTCGAAGCTGATTTGAGGTGAACCGCCGGCGAGAAGAATTGGGGGTTAGGGTCATTCTGAAAATCGAGTTTTCTATGAATAGATAAAAATATTATTTTGAAAGCATAGTGAGAACCAGATTTTGCTAAAATTGTGTGGGAAGTGAGATCGTTCAGCAAACCATTGGAAAAGATGCACTGATAATTTTACCAAGAAAATTAATTTAAAACTATTCACCAAATGATTAGAAAAGTGGATAATTAAGAAAAAAAAAAAGGATAAGGTAACATCCATTTTTAAAATATGCACCTGTTTTTTTTCCTAAAAAACAGTATATAAAATTGATCTACTCTTATTTTTTCCTAATCTTATGTGTTTTAAAAATATTTCTTATAATAGTAAGTCAAACATTTAATTAAAAAGTCAAAGTTACTATTTATATATTTTTCCAATAACCTTTTTATATTAGTATAGATATAGACTCACTCTTCGTTCACTCACATAATTTTTAACTCCTTATTAGTTTCAATCATTTTTCGATTTCTTTTATATCGAATCAAATTTAATCATTTTATTTTTAAACTAGAAGGCTACGGCTGTGCAATGCACAGCCGGCCCAAGGAAGGTAAACATTTGATGGGTATGAAGATATGAAGCGGTAAGCAGAATATATGAATCAACATTACATTAGTGAAGTACTAATACACAACATATAATCATCAAAATAAGACAGAGTTGTTGGTAAACACCAGGAAAATATACCAAGTTTGCATTAGAATTCAAAAGCATCTATATGTAAACAGATGCTTAGAATTCTAGGCAATACAATTGGTAAACACAAAAGTTTAGTTTGTGTGGCATATATGCCATTAAGAAGGTACAAAATGCAGCAACATATATATGTCAATACATTGATGCAATAGTTGTCAATATAGATACAAAACACAAAAGATACAGTCCATAGAATCTGTGTTTCCAAAAGGTGTTAATGTGAAATCATAGAGCAGCTAATCCATTTTTGGCCGACTCTTCTTTGTCGGGCTTGCATCACACATCGTACTGGTTTGATGAGTTTGTTGGGTGGATGATTCAGGAATGTTGGTGGATGGGATGCTAGTTCCTGAGGTGGAGGATTGATGAGGGTCGAAGCTGATGCGTTTTTTTATCGTTGATTCCGAAGCTGCAATTGCTGTAGGCTTTTCACGTGCTTGAGTGAGAGAGTTAATAACATTTTTTAGCGTTGGACTGAAGAGCTCTTTGCGGTAAGATGTTTGTTTTAATAGTAATTTCATAGAATTTTCATATATGGCATTTTTGATATTGTACCTTGTTTGAAGCTGAGGCTGACCCTTCTTGTGCTAGCACTGTAGGTCGAAGCAAATTTTTATCTGTTTGCATACCATCAATTATATAAAGTTTGAGGACAGTGTGATGAGTTGATTCATAGTGTTTGATGAAGCAAACCACATGATGTTCACTCATTGCTGCTACAATCTGAGCAGCCAAATCCACTCCTTGTACCCAGAAGAAAGATGTATTTTACAATAGTTAAATAAAAAAGATCTAGAATACCTGGTAAGTGCAAAATTATGATGATTGATTATGGAAAGCAATAAACAGTGGAACAAATACTTGTATTTTGTCCAAACCAACAACAATAGGGTAATCAATGCAATAAACAACACATGAATATAGAAGGTAACAAAACCCTAATCCCTATAGTCTTTTTATTTGCTCAGTGCATAAGGTAAGAAAATCTTAGTCTCATCTTTTGTCAATGTATAAGGCAAGAAAATCTCAATCCTATCTTTAACAACAATCTATGATGAACTCAGTTTTCCAAAATGAACCAAAAACCTAGCAAAAAAACAACAAAGAGAAATGATGGTAAATATAATGTGTGCAGTTTTTTTTTTTTTCATTTTTCAGCCTTTAACCAAAGCTGTAACTTATATACTTTGTGTTCATAGTAACCCTATAGACTGCATCAGTATATGAACCCAAAACAACACTGGCCACTATGTTTGTCGAGAACTCATAAACATTGAAATCAGTTGGTAATACAAAGCAAATCCTCCAAAAATAGATAAATATGAAAAATAATGTCATTTGCAGTTTTTTGTGTTTATAGGCACCTAAAATAAAAAGAACCAAAAAAAATATAAAAAGAAAAATCTAAAAGAGTTTTACTAGAAAGGCATAGATGACAGAAGATAGCAAAAATTTGTAGCAGTTAAGCTGAGCATATAGAGTATTACAGTTATAAATGGTTAAAACGACAATTAAAGCAATCGGTTTCCATAAGGAGGCACAAATCAATAAGCGATATCAGTAAATTATCTGTACTATTTTTGTTTTGGTTCCTGCATAAATTAATGTAAATAAATATGTTAAATAACCTGATGTTTAGCTGGATATAAGTCAGTCCCATTAAATGGAATCACTCGTTCAGCATCTGAATCATACAACATTGCATGTATGTTTCCTGTCTCATCCTCAATTGCAATCGGCAACCGACACCTAATTGTTATGAAAGAAATAAAAGGTAATGTGTGTTAGTTTCAGGCATATACAATTGTCTAAACAATTGATAAAGTTCCTATTAATATCAAAGGTAATTAATAACTTATGTATAAGTTCTGTAGTATTATAATGATGAAAGAATTATCATAATTTTGAGAAAGAAATTTGATATCTTACTATGTAAAGTACATATTAAAATAAATAGATAATATTCATAGAAGAAAATAGAGCAAGATTAATATTAGTATACAGGAACAATATTCAGAAGAATGGAAATATAGAATCTGTTAGTTAATTTGGTTTTGGTTGAGTGGTGTGTGGAAATAAGTTTTGTTTATATGCAAAATATGCTTTGTAAGCAGCATGGCAGGTGGCTTACAATGAAGATGAGGTACATGAAAATTAAGATAGTAAAAAGTTTTAAATTCTGAGAAGCTTTTATTTGAAATAAGGCATAACTACATAAGTATACATTTGTAGATTGATTTTATTTTATTCATAAAAGTTGGAATTATTTAATGATCAATTAAAACTTTGCTTCGACAAGAGTATCTTCCCTGCAACTTCGACATTTGACGGGCGTATTTGGAGGGACATTATAATTTTTGCGGCAATTGTTGCAAGTAGGTGTCCACAAAGACTTGTTGTCTCCCAAATATTTTAGCTTGCCAGCAACCCAACAAGTTTTAGTCTATCAAAAAGATTGTTAAGTCAGTGTCTGTAAATTTTTAACACTAAACATATGGTGCTTAACATGTTATTTTATTTGCATAAGCGTAATTTGCTATAGCTTACGTATCTGATAGAAGCTAGTGCACGTTGGACAGTGACTATCTAACTGGCTGATGGGTATGGAAACAATTTGTCTGTGTCTCTATACACTCCTTCCTCCACAAGCTTCGCAACATTTGCTTTTTTCTCAGCGTACCTATTCAAGATTATGTGAGAAATAACCAAAAGGTGTGGTGTAATATTACAATTATTATATTGGAAATTGTTTAATACATACCATTGCTTCAATCTGTCAGCAGCTAATATTGGTGGATTTATCATCAAGCAAGTTCCAGTCTTAGTTGATAACGATAGCCCTTTATAAGGTAATTGTGTTAGTCAGACATGAGTGAAGAATCAGTTGTAATGTAGAAAATTGAAATTGCGGTGTATGATACCATTAAATGTCATAACCCTAGTTCTCATGGATAAAATGATGTTCCCAGCTGCTACTGTATTGGCTAAGTGTTGACCAACATCATCTTCTGTTTCAAACTGATTCCAGAGAGTCAAAAGGACAGGCTTTTCCCGGATAAACAGACAATTATAAGTATAACTAATATATTGGGAATAAAATTATGAGGCAGGATAAAACTCTTACTCTTCATTAACAATGACCAACTCTCGGGCTGTGTTTCTTTGGCCCAGACTCTTAACCGGAAAAGCATGCACGACAACACCAATGAGGTCTAGTAAATTTTAAATTCAACAGTGTCAGTTGGTTTGTTGTTTAAGAAAAGCACGCAGAAATTTTAAGCAAAATAATATTTAAAATTTTAGCCAAATGAACTCACTTCTAGGGTTCTCTGTATCCGCGTATTTGTGCAAGTCCACAAACGGATGAACTTTGATTTGGCATGGCAGTTGAGGAGGCACTTCTTCCTGGAATTCTTCAACCAAAGTTTTTTTGTGCAGGAGCCAATTGAATTCATAAGGGCCAACTTGGTACACGGGGTTTCTGGCCGCACTTTTGCTCCAGTAAGGTAGTATCGCTTGTACGGAAGCAGCAGACCATTGAACTCCTCCATGGCTGCTTTGTACACTACAACAGCTACTTTGGTACCCTGTTATGCCAGAATAATGAATATGTCATAGATATAGTCCACATTTGTTATTTAAGTCAACTAATAGACAAAAGCACAAGTCATTTACAGACCTCTCCATCCGTGAATAAGTATCTTCGATAGAACCCTTGTGAATCACTTTTGCTTGTTTGAATAGGTTCCCTCTCAACGACATGAATAAGCGCAGTCTAGTTTCTCGTCTCATCAGTAATTTAGCTAATGGGCAGATAGGTCCTCGACATTGCTACCTGCATTGATTGATAATAGAGAAATGAAAATTGGAAAAATAGTAGACTTTATGTAAAGTAACCTATAGCAAACCACACGGTACATTTTTTTTCATAATAATGTAAATTTTAATTACATTGTTGTGCCGTAGCTGATTCGAGTACTTCGTTGTAAACTATATTTTTTTGTAGCAAAATTGTTCTGTGGATCAAAAAAAGGTGGCCTAATAACAAATTTAATTGCTGACGATAGTTTTGCGCGTGACAGTGTCACATAAAGTTGACCGTGTGAAAAGACTGACTCTTTTAAATAAACACCAACCAAATCTAATGTTTGCTCTTGGGCTTTATTAATTGTCATAGCAAAACATAATCGCACTAGGAATTGAATTCTTTTGTAAGGCACAGGAAGTTGGTCATCACTTGAAGGTTTTAATGGAATTCTATGTATGAAAACATTCTTCCCTTTGAAGTCTCCTACAGTGATTTCTGGATAAATAATATTTCAGCTCAATCTTTTACAAATCAGTCGGGTTCCATTGCATAATCCTTCTGTTGGATCTAAATTTCTGAGTAGTATGATAGGAGCATTTACTTTTGACTGAAACTTATGTGGAGGCATGCCACCAGGTGTTAAAGAATTGATAATGCCTTCATAGAGGCCTTTATGAATGGGGTTGATTACTTCATCGAAACTAAGGTATTCAACTAACTGTCTAGGGAAATCCATAATCAGTTTGTTATTTATCTCATTTACAAAATTATTTTTGCAGCCAATATTGCCCTATTCATTGGGAAATTATGTTGGCCAGTTTTCTTTTGTTCAATATCAACAGGTTTTTGTACTGATGTACAGCAGAATTCAAGATATATTGAAGTTATTAATTCTTGCAAGGCAGCATCAGTATCTGTGTTTTTTATTACAAGTGAAGCAGGTAACTGAATTGTATTGTTTTCATGTGTTGGCTCTACACCGTTCCCTATTCTTAATAAGTATTCAGTAAAGGAGGGATCATGTCGTGCTCGCATATTTTGTTTTAGTTCAATTTTCTCAAGCAAAGGCCAAATATAAGAATTCGTGATGCACGCATTTATTGTATCCTTTTTGTTACCTTTTCGAACTACGGGTAAAATTTGTCTAAAATCACAACCAAAAACAATAACTTCACCACCAAAAGGTTCATTTGAATCTGTTAGGTCTTTTAATAAGTCATAAAGTGATTCTATTGATGATCTCTTAGCCATTGGTGCCTCATCCCACACTATTAGTTTACATTCACGTATTAAGTTTGCCAAATTACTTTGTTTACTAATCTTACAATTTTTTCCTTTTGTCAGATCAATAGGTATTTTAAACCTTGAATGAGCTGTTCTTCCACGGGGAAAAATTGAAGCGGCAATACCAGAAGTCGCAGTTGCCAAAGCTATATATCATTTAGATCTAAGCTCAACCAGTAAAGCTCTATAAAGGAAAGTCTTTCCTGTTCCTCCAGGGCCATCAATAAAAAATGCACCTGGTTTTCCTCTATAGACACGTTGTTGTATTATGGTAAAAGCCTTTTTTGGTCTTCATTAAGTAAGTGCATAGAATTTAAGTCTTCTTGGGTAACCAAAATATTTTTCTCTACTGTTATTTCTCTATTGTTTTCCCCAATGTCAATAGGTATATCAGGAGGCACTATGTTGTATGTGTGGATATTTTTTCCCATTGATTCTAGAAAACCATTTATTTGGTCTAAGACCTTTTTCCTAATATCTATTTTATTTAAATTTGAATGCCTTGTGAAATCCTCGGACATGGCATCTTCGAACTTTTGAAATAAATCGGCTGGATTATTAGGACACGAATAAACAAGTAAGGTCACAAAAAGGTGTCTCATTTCATATGGCATTTTTAAAAGTGACGCTTCTTCTAAGCAAAGTTTTGGGTGTTATCGCCTTGGAGTAAGCCTCTTGCAAGAGCGGCTTCACAATATGATTTAGAAACGGTTCTATTAATTGTCCTAATATCTTTGTAAGATTCTGGGGCTCTAATGTGCAGAAGAAGAAGCTTTAGGTAATACCTTTCGCCTTCGTTTGGGTGTACAATAACAATTCTAGCTATTGAATCCTTTCCGCCTCATTTTTCCATTTTTTCTCTTCTGTTAGCCACACAAAATGTTCTGGGAATTCTATGTAAGTTAAATTTAATTTTTTTGCATGTGGGTCTGTTCTATTCATGAAAAAAAAATTCTGTCAGCATAGTTCTATGATTTCTAGGATTATTTACAATTATGTCCAATCTTTCTTATTTTTTATAATTGATGTTTGTTAATTTTCCAAATGCACTGGTAAATTAATAACAACAGGTTTTGTCTCGCTATTGGGAATCTATATATCCTCCATGCAGCTTCAGGCAGAGAGACCCAACATGCATTTCTAAATTGTTCTATTTCATCAATCTACACATTTTGATTGGATGTATCTATATGAAATTTAATTTTGTCATGGCCTTTACAAATATACTTATAAATATATTTAACAGCTCGTATAGAAGAACAAATTTCAATATTTATATGACAATTAAACTTTGCAAGTAAGTATGGGTTATAAGGCACTACCCATCTATTATCTAATTTACAACCTCGTACTTTTATTGTGACATTATTATCTCGCCTTTGATATTTTAGATATGAATTATTAACTTGAATAGTTACTTCGGAAAATTCCTTTGGATAATTAAATCGACACTTATTTTTTGCATTCATGCATGAATTAGTTAAATTTAACTCTCCACAAGGTCCATGCATCATATGTTTTTTGACCATATTATATAAATGCGGGTTCGAGTGCCTGTCTGGTATTTCAGCTCTTACAATTTTATCAAATTCTTCAGGTCTATACAATTTATCCCTGCTTGCTAGGATAATTAACATGTGAGCATGGGGTAGCCTCTTTTTTGAAATTCTATTAAAATATTTTTTTTTAGAATATCTTTATTTAGCTCTTCAAATTTTCCGTGGAAAACTCGAGCTACCAAGTCAGGCCTATTTTGTGATTCTTCAGTTTCTTTTAAAAGCTCTTTGATTTCAGGCCAATTGGGATTATATGTCATAGTTAAAAATATGTCAGGTTTCCCAAATCTCTGTACTAATGTCATTGCATCTAAGTATCTCTTTTTCATATTTTTTGGTCCTCCTATAAAAGTTGTTGGGAAAAAAACTCTTTGGCCAATTTTTGATGCATTTGTTTCTCCTAATGCTAGAGAATCTTGTATGCCTTGCAAGAATTCTTGTCTAATTTCAGTTTGTTGTTTTTTAAAGAAGTCTAATCTTTCTGATTCAATTTTAACATACATATCGACTATATATTGTTGAAATAATCTCCCAAAATTTAGTAAGCATGACTCATCATTTTCTATTATTTGTAATTTGTATGCATAATAGTCTCTCATCGAAATAAAATTTCGGCCTGCTGCTGCTACAACGTTAGCTAGAAACAGAAAGCATGATGCATGAGAAGTTGTTATATGTGGAAGAAGTATTTTATTAAAATAAATAATCTGAATTCAATGTATACAGACAAATATAATTAGTAGTAGGTGTTTTATTTATTAACTCACCATCCTCTGCCTCAATTAACTCTTCAGCTGATTTCGCATGGCATGTCATCGCACAGAATGGTGCCATTGTGTGTGATGCATTTTTTTAAACTAATCCTCTTAACTTTTCTATGCCTTGGTGCCAACCAAGTTCACCAAATGGGAAAAGCAATGGATATTACAATGGATCATAACAACCAAAATAATACTGTATTCTATGTGGCAAACCACTACGACTATACACTTTGATATTTCTTTGAGATGATTCTTCACTATCATCGTTCTCTACCCATATTGCGGCTACTTGAGAGGCTTCTGGCTTATTATAAACTCTTTGATCAATGTTTGGAATAGTCTTTAATGTGATCTCGTATTCATCCAAATTGTCTAAATCATTAAGGCTCCTGAAAAACTGAGCATATGGATTTTCCCTCAGAACACTTAAAATTTTTTCAATCAGTGATTCTGTTAGCCTAGGGCAGACTTTTAATCGATTTGCAATTTCATTTTCAGTGTCGTGAAAATATAACTGTAAATTTTGAGACGCTTCTAAATCATCTAAAAAGTGGTACATCTGGCCTTGTATTTTGAAGGTGTAAATTCCTTTATTGCGTTTGTTAAATTTTTATCACATTTGACACCCAAAGAAGTAAATGCAAATTGGTTGTTGATGGTCCTAATACAATCTCGAAAGAGCTTAGATTCCTCATTTTTGGAGAAAAGTAAATCTTTTAAGACACTTGGCATGGAGTTATTTGCTAATTTAATTTTACCAATTGAACAGCAGAATGCGTCTGTTTCATACGGGAATTTAACGGCACTACAATACAAACATTTTTTGGTTTTTCAAAAAATAAAAGGCTCACCTGGGATGTTATCCAAAGTATTGCGATTAAGAGTGTGCAAGATACCTACCAGAAGCGTAGATGTTGTTAGGTGAATTTGTTAGTGCTATCTAAAGTAATTTATCTGAATATATTAGTAGGTAAAATAATAATAAATAGGAATTTATTTTGGAGACTAAAACTACACACAAATTCTTACCTGTACTATGGGAAGAAGATGCTACATTTTCTGTGGGCCTATGCAAATTGACCACATTCTGTGCATATAAAGATGAGGTAGAGGAACTATTTGATTCATTTAAAATAGCTGGAGTCACTGAACTTTCTAAACTTAGAACGCAATCGGCTGCTGATTGATTATTAGTAGTGTTATTACTACATGAGTTGTTTTGGATACGAAAAAGTACTTTCTATAGCTGTTATTTCTTTTTTTCTTTTTGCCTTCCATTTTTCAATAGCATTTTGTTTATATGTCTTGTTATGAAGTTCAAGAGCGCAACTAGAGCCTTGCAAAACTGGAGTTTTTGTTGGATTGGGAAGGTCAGAGTTTAATTTGTTAGCTATATCATATAGAGGAGTCCCTCGCTTATTCCTTCTGTCTTGCTCAATGTTTCTGTTTGCTTCGTAAGAAATGAAATTTGTAGGAGTATTTATTGAGGTTTTCTGGGATGCATTTTCATAACCGTCTTCGATAGCTAAATTTGTGATTGTTGATATTCTGCCTTTTTTTTTGTTCTTCCATCTTTCAATGGCATATTGACGATAACGTTTCTTAGAGGCCGGAACCATGTTAACGTAATGCCAATTTTCTGACAACTGGTTATTTCTATTCGACATCTGCTGGTAAATTTTTTGTATACTTAAACTAAAACTATTGCAGTTTTACCAATTAGAGTCAATCAACAGAGCACACCACTTGGGTAAGTTTGTAATGTATTATACAATAAACCTATGATAAGATTCAGTTATTTTTGTTTTTTTGGGTTTTTTTTAAATACTTTACTTACATACGCAGGTGGATGATTTTATTTTTTCTTATTTAACTTCACTATGTAATCAACACATTTAACAATAACATAAGACACTGAAACGACACAGTTTACAGGCAACACATAGGTAAGGAATTATAAATAATCAGCATTATAATAAACATGTTAAATAAACCTGGAAAACACAAATCTTTTATTTTATATAATAAACAGGCACCAAGTAATACAATCCCAGTGACAAAATGATTAACTATACTGAGAACAGGCAAGTAATAGTTATTAGGATAATTGTAAGCACAGAGGTAAATAAATTATTAAAGGGAGCCAAAAACAGTTAGCAGGTAATTTGCCCGAAAGGCAACTAACCTGATAGCAATAAATAAACACCTTCTTATCCTTCCTGTTATATAGAATTTTGAACACTTCTGACAGGAATTCCACCCAATGGTACAATTACCTACATTTGCTAATAAATGAACTATAAGTCAGTAAAATCACATCATAAATCAATACGAAACATAAAATAACCTATACAAACACATATATTAATGAAGCAGAAGCTACTTAGCCAACAAATATGGCTAAAATATATATGCAATAAAAAGTTTCTCATCAGGAAAACTTAATTTTATGTTTGAAAAAGCAACAAAGTTTAACAGAGTAAAGATATTTTTCCATTACCTTATGTATAAACCTTTCTAGTCAACCAGTAGTCATCAAAGATTTTGGCGGTAGTCAATAGAGTTTTCCTTTTAAACACATGAGAAAAAACCAACAACGATAATGAGACCTCAAAAATGACACATTGAAAGTTCATTTTGCAATGGAAAAAAAAAAAACACCTCGTTGAACAAAAGACACAAGGAGCCTCCCAAAAAAAACAACAGAGCTGAAATTTTTATAACCATAGAGACGGCCCAAAGCTCATGTAATGAGAACAGCCTTTTTACTAATTCAATACAGGAGTTATAAGTGAAGAAGTAAATTTATTTATTTGCAAAACAACATCCAATCAACTTTAAAGCAAAAATGGATAAACACAACTGGCAAATCAAGAGAAACAAACAAATATAAGCAAACACAAGATGTATAGGCCATATTTATCTTACAAATTCTAACCTAAACAGATACCCTGATAATTTTTAATGAAAAGCAAAAGACTATATATTTCAATTGTAAGCAAACTAACAAGAAAAAGTTTATCTATAACTTAAACAGATACATTAATAATTTAACAAAGGTCAAAAGAACAGATAGTTCTACTTTGTCCAAACAAACAACAAAAGGGTAATCACTGCAATAAACAACAAATGAGTATATAAGGTAACAAAACCCTAATCCCTATAGTGTTTTCATTTGCTCAATGTATAAGGTAAGAAAATCTTAATCCCATCTTTGCTCAGTGTATAAGGCAAGGTTCAACTTTGTGCAAATCAACAACAAAACCCTAATCCCTGTAGTAAACAACAAATTAGTGTGTAAGGTAACCAAAGCCTAATCCCTATAATCTTTTCACTTGCTCAGTGTGTAAGCCACCAAAATCTTAATCCCATCTTAAATAACAAATTATAATAAATTTTGTCTTCTGAAAAAGAACCAAAAACCCTAGGAAAAAAATAACATAGAGAAATAACAACAAATATAACATGTGTAATTCATTTTTCATTTTACAGCCTTCAATCAAAGCAAACACTCTTATACTTTTCTGTTGGTAAAACCTCTATATACTTCAGCTCTATGTAAACCCCAATCAGCACACTTTACTTTGTTTTTGGATAACTCACAAAACCGAAATCAGATGCCAATAGAAAGTAAATTCTCCAAAAACAGATAAATAAGAAAGCCGATGTTATTTGCAGTTGATCTTTACTTGGAGGAAATGTTTGGAGTAGTTAAGAAGAAGAAGTTACCTGAAGGTACTCGTGTTTCAAGAGCAAAGTTCATATTTTTCCTTGGAAAAATAAGTTGATGATGCTTATATATATATAGACAATGTTAGCTTCTTCCAAAGAAATGTATATAATATTATATTGTTAGTGGAGTCAAATCAAATCAGAAGCCCTTAAAATAATATTAAGCTGCCTAAAATAGAACACATTACACACACATTAGACCGAAAAAAAGTCCAAAAATCTGTATACATTACACAATCTGAACAGAAGAGAACAAATCATTTCCCCTCATCATTTAACTATTTTTTCAATTATTATAAACTTAAATAAAAATGAAAATTAAGATGCCACCCACAGCAACAAAAACCATCAACACAGATCAACACAGATTAAATTAAAAGTTCATAAGTCAAAAAATACCATTCCATAGAAAACCCAAACCAATTAATCCAACAACTTACAAACATTGAAGGGGAAAAATAGGATAGTCGACAACGTAAAATTGGCAAAAAAATAAAATTAAAAAATAAAAAATAAAAAAGAAGCTTCCCTGGTTTGCATGTGTAGCAGATCAACCGAAAAATAGACGAATTAAATTTCCTTGCGCCTACGAACGAAAGATTAGAAAAGAGACCAAACATTCCTGGTTAATTTCCGAGGTAAACGTGCTAAAATACAGAAAATTAAACTCACACCAACCCCAAAACAAAGATCATTATGATATCGCAAATGAATTTTAGAATTATTTACCTGCAATTGACGCGGCGCAATCCCGAAAAAAGAAGCAACTAAACCTTCACTGAAACTAAACGAAGATGTCCCAATTGTTTAATTTGGAGACCGAAGCCGAAACTAAAAAAACAGATTGAGAGTGATTCATCGAAAAAGATGACGCTATCGAAAAAATCGTTGTTGCCCTAAAAAAGCCTCGATAAAATGAATGAACGAAAAGGCAAAGAAAAAATAACCTCACACACATCCAAAAACGACGACGTTTCGAATGAAAGACTGCGTTTTTTTTTTTCAACAGGTATACAAAGCCTCTTCAAATTCCTTGCGCCACGTGTCGTCCAAGGAAGGCTCTTAGCATCTTTTTATATATTAAGAGTAAAGATATTATTTTAATACAAACTCAAAATCTCACTCCACTGCTACAATTTCTTTTAAGGTGATTGGCAACATCAGTGGCTATATTACCCCTACCAGAGGGATTAGACAGGGGGATCCCCTATCCTTCTATCTATTTATTATTGTTGCTGAATTGCTATCCGCACTTATAATGGACTCTCAAGCCAGAGGACTTCTCAAAGGCTTTAAACTGTCAAAGAATGGCCCTGTTCTCTCATACCTCCTCTTTGCGGACGATTCTTTACTTTTTTGCCATGCTGGAGCTGATCAAGCAAATCTGCTGCTCTCACTGCTAGAACAATACAAATCATTCACTGGCCAACAAGTAAACCTCCACAAATCTGGAATTTACTTCAGCAGAAACACACCCTTGTCTCTTCAGACCACTATCTGCACTGTTCTTCATGGAATTACACCTCACAGATCAACAAGATACTTGGGCCTCCCTCTTGGCATTGGAAGATCCAAAAAAGAGGTATTTGACTACCTCTTACAATCTCTCAACAGTAAACTGCAGAACTGAAAATCCAAATTCCTTATACCAGCAGGTAAAGAAGTTCTTATCAAATAAGTGATTCAAGCACTCCCCACATTTACAATGTCATGTTTCAAGCTTCCCATTACACTTTGCAATGACATAGCAAGAATGTGTGCACAATTCTGGTGGCAATCTGCGAATAACAATGGCAAAGGCATACACTGGAAGAGATGGGATTTAATCTCACTCCCAAAACCAAATGGAGGGCTTAGATTTCTGGACATAAAACTCTTCAATGAGGCTTTAATATGCAAGCAGTTATGGAGTGTGGCCACAAACCCTGATCTCCTTGTCAGTAAAGTGCTCAAAGACAGATACTTCCCAACTGGTTCCATTCTTGATGCTGTCAAATGTCAAAAGGGTTCCTGGATGTGGAACAGTTGGACAGAGGTGTAACGCCCCACTTTTATTTGCCGAAAATCAGAATAAATTTTTCAAATTTATTTTAAAACACATGAGGCGCTACTCATTTTTAAAACAAACTTCCATACTTAACCAATTTCTCAATACTCAATCAATCATCAATCATCAACATATCACTAACTCCCAAAACGAGTTTTCCAAAAATTCATAAATCATCACCCAAACCGGGTTCCAACAATATTCGTAAATTCTAAGGAGCATTTCCTTAACATTATTCAGTCATAAAATCCGAAAATCTTAAATGAAATAATACTCCAAGTTCATAATCTTAAAAACCAGTTCATAAATGCGGAAGCATAACAAATAATAAGGTCACTCTTATAGACCGACCACCACTCGCTCTACTCCGCCGTCGTACCTGCCTCGCTTAACCTGAAACGTGAATTTCAGGTGGGGATGAGCACAGTTGGAAAAAGTAGTGCTCACCACTATGCAGTAAACATTATTCACAATAATGAAACAGTAATCAATAATCAATAAGGTATGATCTCAACATGTATACGAATAAATTAATCATTCCAATCTCCTATCAATCATATCAATAATAGACTCATGTGCACACCTATACCAATAGACTACTGCCGAACTATATACCGAACGCCTTATCTAAGGCCTTACAACGAGTGTCCGGCCAGTAGGAGTATCCCGCCGGCCAAGGCCTCACCTTGGTCTTACCAACGGGGTTGTCCAGCACAGGGACCTTTAACCCAGGACTTACGGCTCAAAATGTGTCCAGCACAGGGACCTTTAACCCAGGACTTACGGCTCAAAATAATAAGGAGACTACCGAACGGGTACGTTCTATAGATACGGGGATAACCGTTCGACGGCCGGTACAGCTCACATCGAAGGCTACATGTTCCACATGCATACTTGATCATACCAAAAATTTAAAACAGTAATAACATTTACAGCATAGACAAATTTACATTAAACCCACCTGATACTGCAGAGGACAATGGTGAAAGCACGAGCAAACAAGGGCGATGGTTCGACTCCTTTTAATCTACAAATTAGGGTTTAATTATTATTAAGGGTTTTGATCGAAAATGTGGATCAACACATTAAAACACGTCGGGTACACATATCAGATAAGAGCACAAAATGAGATCCAAGTTAAGCAGATACGAATCAGATAATTCAGTCGAAATAAGCAAATAAGGGCAAACAAGACAGGTAACCAAAACTAGAGCAGACAACTCTTNNNAGAATTACCTGACTTCAATTTGATAGGCCAAGGAAATAAAGAGGGTTCATAATAATAAATCATGAATTATAAACTCTATTACTAACACTTGCAATATATATTTGATTGAGATATGCCTGCTAAGATAATATACACTCCCAACACACTAATTTAAGCATTTTAATCCTCAATGGTAAATAAATATGTGGCGGAACTTGGATTGAATTATCAGCAAAGTTCACTCAATTAAACTCATGGAATCCGTTTTCATTATGTTAATCTCATTTGCTAATACAAATCAATATATGCACACAGTAACTACATACTAGCCAAATATATATAATTACGAAACACATACACTAGCTAATATTACGAATTATACATATAAAGTGATTTAGCAATTACACAAAGAATCCCAAAATTCACCAAAATATGCAAGTGGAGAATTGAACAGTAGCAACTAAATAAGTCTGCTATTTCTTCTTTAATTGGTGAAGTAGTATAACCTTCTCTTCCCTACGAATACCAAGGCATGAAATCGTAACGCCGAGTTTCATTCCCTGAATTGAAACAAACAACAGCAGCAGAACAACCACTTTACCAAGGCTCAACACATAATTCAAAAGAAGGGCTAATGCAATCAACACTAATATGCCTCAAAATCACATTCTATTATCTCAAGTAACCATTTCACATGCCAAGGCCAAATAACTGAGATCACTTACTAACATTTATTCATTTACAGCCTCCTAATCACACACATAATAAGGCTTAGAAATATATCAATACACGAGTCTCAAATAAGCACATAAGCAGGCTGCAGGAACTCATTTAACATCGACCAATAAGAGACAACCCAAGGATAAGCCATAATACCTCTCGCCGGAAATAAAATGGAGAAAATTCGGTTCTCGGCTCCCGGTTTGCTGCAGCCCAACAACCCATGACTGCTGTTCGACCCACACAAGGGCTCGGGTTGAACGTGATCGGCTCGCTTCAGTCGGAATGTTGTTGCTCGGTTCCAAAGAGTCCGCATCGACGACTCGTCTCAGCCTCACGAGTGTCGGATTCGGGTCTGCCGCTGCCGGAAATTTGAGTTCTTCAACAGCCAGAGCTCGTCGGGGCTCGTGAATGTCGTTTCAGCCGCGAGTTAGGGCTACTCTCACGTTTGAGGCCCGGTCTGCTACTCGCACTGGAAAATCTGGTGGCTCGCGTTTCGATAATGAACGGCCGCCCTTGGTCGCTCCTCTGCCAGGTTGCTCGTCAGCCTCGCAAGACATCGCCTCGTCGTGAATGGCTCGGTCCTCAAAAGTCGGTGATCTCGGTCGTTACTGAAGGACAGGGTGGACTCAGTCGTCGAAAGCTCGAAGTCGCCGGACAGTGGTCGGGGCTCCATCCCGATAATCTGGCCATCGGAAAATGCGGCTCTCGGTGGTGTTTGCTTCAACGCGACCCAACGATGGTCGGAGAAGACGATGGCTGGGAGAAGGTCGCCGAAATTGTTGCTTCAATCGAGAAGGACGAGGTTCGTGAGGTTGTTCACAGCGGCTATGGTTGGTCGCTCCCGATGCGCAGACGAGAAGAGGGGTTCGTGACGGCGGTTCGCTGCGGGTCGCCGGCGATGGCTGCTCGAAACGGCTCTCTTCCTACGAGGTGTGGTCTCTCGCAGATAGAGGAGGTTCGTCGGAGGGCTGGGTCGCCGGCGAATGATCCAAGGAAGAAGGGTGATTCTTCGAGAATTTGAGGGATTTCCGATTTGATTGCGCCGAACGGGACGAGACCGAGAGGTCAAATCTCTCATCTCAGATTTTGTGTGAGAGGCGGATGATTTTAGGGCTGAAAAAAATTTATACTATGGGTTGGAAACACGGCTAAATGAGCCGACTTAATTGTTCAAAAGGGCTAAGAGAAAATGGGCTGATTTTGTGCCAAAAATCATATCCAATTGGACCGGTTACTAAATTCCAAAAAGGGCTGAAAAATTAAAAACTTCAATTGGTCTAGAAGTTAAAACCAAATTGGGCTGAACCATTTAACAGTTTGCAAGGCCGGAAATGGAACTCAATTGGGCCAAATGAATAAACTTAAGGTTCGGATTTAAATGGCTCAAAAACGGTTCAAATGGATTAGAATCGATTTAACGCGATTAAACCGAAAATCGCCGAAACAATTAAATACTAAACCAAATAAATCATAATAATTCTAATACATATATAAATAATAAATAAACACATCTCACAGACATAAAGTCACTTAGCAATTCTAAAATAAGCAGACATTTTCAATACAAGCAAAGGCGAGCAGTTAAAAACAATAATCGGGCAAAAGCATAAACAAATGAACAAATTAAATAAAAGCAATTAAATAATAGTATAATATTCTGAAATTCTAATAAAAAAACGGGACGCTACAAGAGGTTATGCCTGTTTTTGCAAAGTGGTTTAAGACTGAGGTCAGAGGTGGAGCAAGTACTAAAGTGGATGACATCAACTGGGTCCCTCATCTCAACAAGCCTAAGCCAGAGATGATTGAACTTGCAAGGGGCCATCATATTTGAGTTAAGGACCTTTTGCTTCCTCATGGTAAGGGTTGGAATGAAGGGCTTGTGAGGCAACTTTTTACAAACTCTGACAGTGAGGCTATCCTTAACATAAGGTCATTGCACCCAGGCAGAGCTGACAGGAAGTATTGGTGACTTGAAAAAAGTGGCTGCTTCTCTGTCTCTAGTGTTTATTCCTACCTCTCCCATAAGAAGATCTTGAAGCTCGAATACCATAATCCAGCACAAATTCCTCTGGCCTCAGAACTAAGATTTATAAATGCTGGAAGCTCAAATTTCAAGGGAAAATAAAACACTTCTTGTGGACCTTACCTGTTGCAACTCTTTTGTTCAGAGTGGAAGTGGACATTATCTGCTTTATCTGTGGAGACTGCCCTGAGACAATTGAGCACATTCTTTTCTCTTGTTCCAGAGCCAGAAGACTATGGGAAGTGGCTCCTGTGCATTGGGATGGATTGACAAACCTCTCACACTCCTTTAAGCAATGGTGGCATCAAGTATGTACTATAAAACAAAATGAGGTAGTTGTGGCCAGGATCCAACTTTCCACTTATCTTTTATGGTGGCTCTGGAAATCTAGGAACCTCTGGATTTTCCAAAGCACACTCATGCCAATCCACATAGTCATCAAGGCAGCTCTCAAGGATTGACAGCATTTCTGTTTAGCTTTTAGCAGTTAATGTTTCTTTGGGATTTTGTTAGGTTCTGGTGTTTTTATTAGTTGTGTTGTATCTTTGAGTCCTAGCTAGGCTTTGTGGCAGTAGGTAGGCTCTTTGATGCTTAGTCTTTTTATTTTAGTTGTTATGAGGTTCTTGGCCACCTGCGTGCATGCCTCTCATTTTCTATTTGGCTTGTAGGTTGGACTATCTTTGCACTCTGCATCTTTATGAGTTATATAATTCTCTATCGTTCCGACAAAAAAAAAAAAATCTCACTCAAATTTAACTCAATCATTTTTTCAAATTAACTACGGTTAACAAAACGACCCATCAAAATAAAATTAAATTCATATCCACACCCTAAGTACTGAAATTGAAAATTTTAAATAATAAAAGTGAAAATAATGTAAAAGTGGGAGTATCGTATAATACCAGTACTATATTTATTGAACTAGGTACAACATAAAAATAACAAGGTACAACACCCGAAGCGCATCAAAACCCTAACAGCTTTCTCCTTCACAATGCAATATAACAACACATACAACACAGCTCACAACTCGCCAACCCTCCATCAGCTCAGAAGCTTCTACACACACACAAACCCCTGTTTTATGCCCGAGAACAGTGACGTAAGCCCTAGCTGCTCGTCTCTGTTCGCATTCAAGCCTCGCCAAGTTATCCTTTTACAGCAGCAGCAAAGGCGCGCACCTATGGCGAAGGCTAAGCCCGAAACCCCGGCCGAACTGAAGCCCGAGGACGAGTCAGTGCTGATGTCCTCTGTCGCTCGATGGCTTGAGGATAAAGGATTTTCCAAAGTCCTCAAACGCTTCCTCTCAGCAGCTCAAATTGAGGTCTGTATATGGGGTCTTGCGTGTATGTATCTGCATCTCTCTGTGTGGTGTCCCTATGCATTTTGGTTTCTTGAGCTAAAATGCGGGTTTGAGTGTGTCTGTTTGATTCCTCGAGCTGAACTGCTGTTTGTAGAGGGTTGTGTTGTAAGTTATGTTTTTTTGGTGGCTTATGAAATCATTTTCATGCGTGAATTCGAATTCAAATTTTTTGAATGTTGATTTTGATTATTGGGCATGGAGTGTTATTTTCAGAAGTGTAGGTTTTGATTCTTGATTTTGTTTCGCTGGAGTGCTGTTGTTGATCATCATTTTCTGGTGCAGGATGACACTTGGAAGGCTAGGGCACTTAACTTGAATGAGATTTTCTTGAAGTATCAGGAATCGTGGTAAATTGTTCAATACATTTTATATTCATGCTCTTTATAATGCAAGAAATTGTGTTCTCAATTACATGTTGATTCATGTTACCTATATAGTGCTCCGGCTGCTGGTTCTCTATCCGCGAAGTGCCTGAAGGATGAGTGTGATAGTTATTATGTCCTCTATGGCTCCATATTTTTCCTGGATGTAGCATGAAGCATGATTAGTATCTGAACTTTACTCGATCGCGCAGTCTTCTCACCTTAGTTTTGATAAATAGAGCTTGTGTGATGTACTTAAAGTGGATGTTGTTTCTGAAGCATGTGACATTCTTTAATGTTGAAGGCTTATAATTGTTTTCAAGTATGGATTTTATAGAGAGCGGGATAGACTTATGTTTTGATTGAATATTGTTGAGAGAGATCTCATTAGTAGCCTGGACATCAATTTACTAAGACGTGGGTTCAAGTGTTTAGGTTTTGACTAACTTCTGATGTACGATTAGTTGCATATACTTAATGGTTAATACAATTAATTGTACATAGTTCATGGCCAGGAAAGAGAATTTTCTTGTGTACGAAGCATGAGAGTCTTTGTGAAGTCGATACAGTTACAGGGGGTTATGATTGATCTCCTTTATTCTGTAACAGGGCTACTTTTATATCTGTTTAACTTATATTTCTCTGGGAGATAACTTCAGTGCTTGTGTTGTGTATGGCCACATTTCAATTGTGATTCTTATGCTGTTGAGATCCTTGTTATTGCAGTAATAATGCTCGGGAACAAGCAACGTCCCAGAAGAAGATAGGTAACCTAAATCGTTGCCCCTCAATGATGTCGCAACATTATCGCTTCTTGCTTTTCCTTGTTATCAATGATTAAGTTTTGAGCGGCGCACTTAATAAAGATTTGATTTTTACAGAAAAACAGACTGATGTCACATTAGAGAAAAATGGGGATGCAAATTGTACAGATTCTGAGCAAGCTGTAAATAAGAAAAAGAAGAAGAAAAAGGGTAAGGAGGATGCTGCATTTGCTGAGACTGGACGAACTTCCGAAGGTACAGTCATAAATGAAAAGATATATGAATCAAATGAGTCTAAACTGTCTAAGGAATCCAGTGGTGGGGAAGCTCTTGAATCAATTGAGGATCAATCAACTAAGAAGCAGAAAGATAAGAAGAAAAGGAAAAACAAGTCGATCTCAGAAGCATTAGATGCTGATGAAAAGCAAATAGATGTTTTCCCTGAGGTGTTTCAATCAAACAACCAAGGTTTATCTAAGAGTTCTGCTGAAGAGGCACTTGATGAAAAAACCACTAAAGATAAGAAACCTAAAAAGAAAACAGTTGAGGCTACGGAAAATGGAGATAATGAACCTGAGAAGGCTACGAAGAAGAGAAAAAGGACGGATCATGTTGAAAAAGAAAACCAGTATGGTGAGGAAGTGGCTGTTGAGGAATCAAAGTCTAAAAAGTCAAAAGGTCTTGAAGCAGACAAAGATGTTGACTGTGGAGCCAATGGACATGCTAAACAAACTGATGAGAATGCTAATGGTGCCGTTATTGGCAATAGAGTGGATAAATCCAGTCAGAAAAAATCTGCGAAGAAACAGTGGAACGGATCTGCTGAGGTATACCCATCATCTCTTTCTGTTGATTTTTGTTTTTAATTGAGGGCTTAATTCCATCTGAATGTGCTGTAAATTTGTAATAAGTACAGCTTATCTTATGATGGTTATCACACTTGCATCTCCTGCTGAGGATTTAACATTTTATTCCTTCAATATTTATTAATATTGTGTTCTTTTTTGTCATTGTTGAGAATATAATCACTTAAGTAAAGTTTTTATGCAAATTACAAAGGCTGTTAATATTGAAGTAGACAAGTTTGCTGGTCTTTTGCAGCCAAAAGCAGGGAATGCATTTCAAAGAGTGAAAATTGATGAGGTGGAATTTGTTGATGAAAGGCTACAAGATAACTCATATTGGGCCAAGGTCTGTTACATTCTTTGTTTTGTTTCCTTGTTTAGTTTTCTTCTCTCTTAATGAATACTTTTCTCGTAGTCGCCATTTACATATTGAGATAACTACGCACTCTTCGAGATCTTGCTCCTTCAAACTGAACAACCTCTCTCTAATGGTTAAGAACTTTGAAAAATATCTGCCTGGAGGTTTAGAAGTAAGTTTTGACATCCAATTCGTTGTGAATAAAATGGGTGACATTTCTTCTGTTTTCCTGTTTGTTACAGGATGGTGCAGAAACTGGTTATGGTGCAAAAGCTCAAGAAGTTTTGGGACAAGTCAAAGGAAGGTGTGTTTCTACCTTACCTCCGACATACTTTCCTTGCCTACAAAACCATACACACACCAAATATCTGAATAAAACTGGATTTGTTCAATGTATTGTTCAAGATACTAACTAGAAATTAAAAAGAAATAGCGTGGATGAATGAAACATATATATATCTTCTAAAGATATTCCGAATAACCTGTAAAAACATTGTAACAAAATTTCAATAAACTTGAATGTTCAGAAGATGGACTACTAGAAATGGGCTAGGTCCAGCTGCTTGTAAACTTCAAGTGAGATATTAAAATCTTTTTGTAGTTTGAGAAATTGTGCTCAAATTTTTGCTAAATCGGTCGAAGTCATTGTAGTGAACACGCACGTACGCACGCACACGCACACAAACAAACATACATAGATATTGGATTTGAGAAATAAGAGACGTGCAATATGTTATTGACATTTCTGCCCCTCCGTGCTGTCTTATCCAGGGGATTCCGGCATGAGAAAACCAAAAAGAAGCGCGGTAGCTACCGAGGAGGGCAAATTGACCTGCAATCCCACTCGATAAAGTTCAATTATTCTGATGAAGAATGAGTGCTGTTTTGTCCCCCTTCATTTGCCATTATATCTCAGACTTTTATAACTGTTGGTATAAAATTTTGATCCCTATCATTGATATTTACCCCAAATTGCCCAGTTGGTTCGTATTCAAATGGAAAAACACTAGTCTATTTAATTGTACACCATCTTTATTCGATACATTTGGTTATAAATTTTGCTTCCCTCCCTTGTTTCTTTTCCTGTTCTAAATATGCCTATTCGTACTCGTCTTTAAAAAGCTGAAGAAAAAGCTACATTGCTTGTTATCTTTAACCTATTAATTAAATGTAAGGCATCTTTGGTTTTCTGTTGAAGAAATCTCTTTTTCAGAGAAGACACATGAAAAGAGCTTTAACATTCATGTTTCAAAGCTAGAGTCAATTGCAGCAGTCACCCCAGATTCGAACGATCCCTTTCGTAGTTTAGAATTTTGTTAGAATTTCGTTAGAATTTCGTTAGTTTTGTGATGTCGATTATCTGATTAGTGATTAGAATGTTAGAGCTGTTAGTCAAAACGAGCCGCTCGTGAGCTTGGTTCGTTATGATTTGAGATTAGAGGGCTTTATATATTTTCTTAATTTTTTTACTTTAGTTTAACTTGTTAATATTAATAAACGAGCCAACTCAGACTTGTTTATGCCTCTAGGTTAAGTACATTGAAGGCCTATATCGTGAAATGGTTAGGGCTATTTTGTTTACCAATTATCACAAAAAAAAATTCAATCTCAATTCAAAATTTAATTCAACTTTAATTCAACTCTACTATTCTCAATATTATCAATATAATTAAATAATATTTATCAATCATTCTTACACGTCACGTTAACTTTCATTTACCATTCACCTACTCACATAATTTTAACTATCTATCACTTCTAATCATCTATCTCTTATTTTTACAACAAATCAATTTTAATAATTTTATCTTAAATATTATTCTAATACAAACTTAAAATATTTCTAACAACTAACCATACCAACTTTCTTAAAATTAACCATGATTAACAAAAAAAATCAATCAAATATCAATATATTTATAAACAAGCACACCCTAAATGATGCGGAAAAAAAAAAGAAAAAAAAAATTACTTTGGACATGCTTGTTTACAAATTAATTCTCACATTTAATTCATACTTAAACTCTAGCTCAACTTTAACTCAATCACACTATCTTCAATATTATTCATATAATTAAAATAATACAAATCAATCATTCCTGCACATCATATCAACTTCAATTCACTCCCATATTTTTCAGAAATTCTATGGTGCCCATATGGGCACCATATGGATATTAGGCGTTGGATCGTGAAATTATGGCACCATAGAATTTCTGCATAATTTTAACTACCTAGCATTTTCAATCATTTATCTCCTATTTTTACATCAAATCAATTTTAATCATTTATTTTAAATATTATTTTAATACATTCTTATAATCCCACTAACAACTAATCATAGCACATTTTTTTTAAATTAACACTGGTTAACAAATTAAATCGAAAATAAAAAAAAATAAATAAAAAAACGTATCGGGATGGTACCACTGGTATGGGCTCCTCATCACGCGTATATAAGCATGCAACAGCTCTTGGCCCATATGCTCTTTTGAAGTCAAAGTATTGGAAAATAGGGCTCCGCTTTAGTTTTTGGACTCAATATAGTAATTTTAGAAAGAGAAAATTACCCCCATGTAGTAATCAAAACATAATATATTGCATATATACAACATAATTTTTATTTGCAAACATACAACATTTAACATATTTTTTTTTTCAAAATTTACCTTATTTTTTAGATAATTATGAAGGTAGTTGCATGCAATTGCTAATTGCCTTAATTTAATTGCCCCACGAACTTTAGGTCGTCAGCTCGTAGGGTAAAGGCCTTGACCTAGACAAGGGTCCGCACGGTTCGGGTGGATGACAAGATGCTAATGGCTACCGACCTCTAGAGGAGGGCCCACGCAAGGATCTCCTCTCTGCAAAAGTTTCCTGGCCGGAGAGTGATGAAGTTGAAGAATCCCAATTGGCTGCCGTTGGTGGTGGAGTTTTCGAGTCGATGACATGCAGATAATATTGATCAGATCTATTTTTTATATTTATTTGATGTTTATTTACAGTTTATATTTGATATATTAGCATATTTTTTAGTTGATGAGGAAATTGATATGAAACGGCAAATGAGCAATGCTTTTTTGTTGATTATTGTTTATGTTGTTTTTGGATATTCATATTAATGTTTTTTATTTCGTTCTTATTTGTAGTTTTATCATGTGTTCATGTTTTAGTTGAATACTTTTTGTGAATGGATGTTTGGTTTTTGTCATGGTTCTTATTGGTAAATAAGAATCTATGAGTGAATGTTTGTTTTTTGTCATGGTTCTTACATTTTGTATTTGGTTTATGTTTTTAGTAGTTGAGTACTTTTTGTAAATAAACACGTAACATATACTCAAAATATACTGACTATAAACGCAACATAACTGAAATTATTCTGATGCCCGTCTTGCACAAGATCATGATGCTAGTCGTTAAGCTTGACCTATTGTTATTATAATTTCCTATCTAGTCGATTTTGTTATTGTATATCATGAAGACGTATATTGTACACACCTACTTATCTGTTACGTAGAGCCTCAATCAATTTGAGTATCTTGAAATTTAGTTTAATTGACTAATGAACCAATGAATGGTATGCAACTTGTATAGTTACTTTTTTAATCCTATCATGAATTGCAGAGCAAATATCTTGTTGAACTTTATGCTTATCAATTTGAGTTTTCCTGGAGGATTATATAATTAAATGTATCACCAGTGAATTTGAATACCGACCTAGATTTAGTTATCCCTGAAGGATTGGTCCTGTTGACCAGTATCATAATTGCATAAGAATTATCTAGCGAGTATCTTTGAAAGATTGATCTAGTAAATAATCTCGTTGATATTTGGATAAATTCATGATCTTTTGATATTAGATCAGCTTTGCATATTCAATATACTCTTAATCAAGTGATGTAACCCAAATGTTACAAAGATTGAATCAATATACAAGTTTTCTCAAATTATTTAAGTTTGCTTATATATTTGATAAGATGCATATCATTAAATTAAATTGTTGATAGCTACGATAATAAATTTAAAAGTAGTGCCCGAAGCACATGCTTTTTTTAATAATAAAAAAAAAATACTAGTAGCTACAACAAAAGGTCACAACCAAAGTTCAATTGTAGTGCCTGAAGCATATCGTGTTCACTTAGAAATGAATTATTATATTTCGATGCCCAATTTATATATTTGATAATTAGCATGAGCAGTTGAATCATATTGGGCAATTATTTATGATAATTTCCCCCCTACAATGCGTGGAGAATCGAACATTTCTCATCTGCAATTTATTACTATTTTATTATGCACAATTTTATATCACCACAAATTCGTGCCTTTATGGTCCTATACTACAAACTAGGTATGCTATGATTTTTATATTCCGTTGAATTTTTAATACCTAGAGGCCATTACAGGGGATCAATTTAGTATTTTGGTACGTTTTAAGGGGATATATGAGCATAAGTTTATTAATACCGTGAAATATGTGAAATATTAATGTTTTAATTATTTGAAACCACGCAATAAAAATTGAACTTGAAGTTCATATTATATTTCCGCCAAGCGAAATCTGTAGTTATAATGGAATGACCAATTTATAAATATATAGATGTACCACAAAGTAAGCAAATTTACTAGGGAATTATTGACTCCTTAATGCTAGAAGGATAAGGTGATATAATGAATATGATGTATGAAAGTCCGCGGAAAATGTAGATTCAAGAATTAACACTCCGTTATAAGAAACTCCTGAAGAGTTGATCCAGTACATCTTGCACATGCATCAAACTATTATAGTACTGGAAATGCGGAACGGCCAAAATTAGATGTTATGGGGAATGATTATAAATATGGCTAGTAAATACGAAGTTGCATATATGGTTGAGAGAAAAATATAAATTGAATATCAGTTGTCGACAACATACTTGCCTATATGATTTCCTTACTATCTCAAATAATGATCCGCATCAAAATAATGAAAATGCTAGAAGCACTTAGGTTGATTGAGATAGAAAGGAAAATGGAGGTAGAGTTTTCACTTGCTACACGGTATATCCCAAAAGGATAGCATATCCCAGAAGGATAATGAATATTTATATGAAACATGTGATGTGGTGGTGTAAATATAGCGAGATTATGCTCATGGGTTTATGCAGAGACCCAAATATTTATTTAGATAAGTTCTCTCATTATCAATGATTCCGCAAGTTAATATTTATGGCAGCAATATTACCATGACTATTGAGTCATATGTGAAAGTCGAGTACCCGAGATGAAAGATAATTAAATAATAAATATTTTAATTATTTAAAGTTGTTGGTAAGATGTGGTACAGCCAACTAAATTCTTCCTGAACAAGTAAAGTAAGTAATTCAAGGTAGAACCTTGTGTAATATACAAAATGATCATCTCGGTCAAATAGATTATGCAGTGAACACTATGTAAAAGATTAAATAAGTTAGCTCATGCTTATAGACGGAGTTAGAATGAAACTCTTGGTTAAATACCAAAGATTATTATCTCGACTTGTAGATCGAGCATCTCCTAGAAGGAGCATTTTGACCCAACCAATCTACTTGAATCTCTTTTTAGGGATGTAAAATTATAATATCAATGAGTGTCAAATATTTGAAATTTGACAAAGATCCAAAGAAACAAATGAGGATATTATAAGACCTGAAGTTCCAATGGATTTGAAGTCCACAAACGACCTGAAGTTTATTTACTAAGTGCAATTGTGCTGAAATTTTATCACGCAAACTGCATCAGGCCTGATACTGCATTTGCGATGAATTTGCTAGCAAGATTTACTATTTCTCTTCTTAAAGAGGTATCATGATAAATTTGAGAATATCCCATTATGTTTTCATGTATGTTGAGTTATCTTTGGACTTGATATATGATGTTGGTGGATAAGGACATCAATTGTATAATTGATGTCCCCGTAGTACTGGGTCCTCGGTTGGTTATATATCTCTGAAATGGTATTAACCCTTTATCACTTTTATTGAAATTTTTCCATAATTATCTGGAAGATAATATAGCTTGTGTTACACGATAAATTATCGAAATACATTTGATGATATATTTGAATCCATATTAACTCCGGAAGAGTAACAAATGAGATTTTATGAGAACTCTTACCTTGAGGAGCAACATACAATTATGAATGTAACTAGAAAGACTTTCCCTTCGGGGGGAGCGATAAATAAATCTCGAAGATCGAGCCCGGAAGGCTAATTATAATCTTGAAAATTAGGCCCTGTTGGCCGGTGTTGTACTCTTTTCACTTGACTAAGTTTTTTTCCCATTGGGTTTTACTTAGTAAGGTTTTTAACGAGACAGCAAGTGTAACACATAAATTTACGTATGTTATGTACTCTTTTCCTCAACTACTTTTTCCTACAGGGTTTTGTAGCGAGGTTTTTAACAAGGCATAGACATGATGCGGTAATGCCCAGGGGGGAGTGTTGTAAATATTAATTTGTGGACATTACCTAAATATAGGCTTTGTATGTGTGGGCCAGGAGCCCATTAGGTCTATAGTCATGTACACTGTATTCCCTTATGTATAGGGCTTAAGTGAATGAATAAGATAATGGTTTTGACGGCGTATCTCTTCACTCTTATTCTCTTCTACTGCTTTCTCTCTCTTTGTCTATCTTTGTCTATCTTACACATCTATCTTACATATTGACAATCTATATTACAACACAATCGTGTCAATAGGGGGTTCCTTTATCAGGAGTTATTGAAATTTGATTTTGTGAAGTATAAAATATTTCAATTGTCTCAATTAAAAGGTGGGATTTTCTTCTTCTCGGAAATTATGAATATATGATTGTTTGATTCAAATTCTATTATCAGTTTGCTTAATTTTTTATGATTTCAAATATAATAATATTATATATATATATATATATATATATATATATATATATATATATTATTTTAGGCTGTTCGACTTTAATATTATGGACATTTTACCCTCATCAAAGTTTAACTCATTCCACCATCCCAAAAAATGCAAAAGCATAAAAATGAACAACTAAACGAACTAAAAGGCACAAAAATTATTTTAGAGTATTTTTTATTCAAGCTATTTATTCTAAAATACATATTATTATATATTCATTTCACTAAGATATTACAAAAAATAACTAATTGATTTTAATGCATAGTCAAACCCCTCAAAAGCTCATAAGTAATTATAACTATAATTTTAATAATTTTCAGCTAATTCATTGGTAATGATACCTCAAATTTCTTAAAATTATATTATTCATTACATTTTATACAATTAATAAATGATCAATCATTTAACATGTTAGATCATTATTTAACTTATAATTTTAATATTATATAATACATATAACTTATTATACCTTATTCACATTTGTGCGTGTGCACACGATCAATAAATTATTAAGATACTGTGATGACTTCTTATGGTTATGTAATTATATTGATTCCAAATTAGCAATTTCTGACCAGAAAATTTAGAAATTTTCATCATTTTCAAAGTTGTATGTTACTATGTTTTCTGTGGCAGAATTCCAATTTTTAAAAATTTGCTTAAATTTGTATTTACTATAATTATTTTTTGCCAAATTTGTATTCAAGCATATTATTTTAACCAATTACTGAATAGGTAGATTTGTGACTACATTTTTAACCAATTATTTCAAGCATATTATTTTAAACAAGATATGAAATCCTTAATCCTAACAAATGGAAAATTTAACATTGGCCATTTGTGTATATTGGACTTTCTACCGTTCGTTCTTTCCATTTATTAGATGATTGATTGCATCTTTTTAGATTTTTAAAACCAAGCAAACTGAAAATCCTTGTGATAGTGCTGAATAGATTGAATTGTTCATTGCAACTTGGTCACATAATCCATATTCGTTATATGGTTTGTGAAATTCATTTTTATTTTTAAATACGGACATGATTATGAGTCAGTCTTATGGATAGACATTAGTGATTAGACCATCATATTTTTTAACAAAATTTTTGTTTATATTGTTAATAACAATATATATAAATTTGGAATAAACATTAAGTAAGGAAAATATGTGCAGAGGCAAAACTTGATATCCAAATCATCTGAACATGAAAACAAAAATGTGAGTATACGGAATCTAGTCATACTGATTAAGGATTACTCAAATTTTGACCCGAAAGTTACATTAATTCTCAATTCAAAGTACATATTTGGACCATGGTCAAACTTATTTATCATTTTAGCTAAAAAAAAAAATCATATTTGCACTTTGCATTTATAATAACTTTCATATAATTAGGGTGAAACAAGAAAATATATGTCAAAACCAAAGAAGTGAATTAAGGTTAGCTTTATTTTATTATGTATGCATATATAGATTTTGCTATGACACTTTTTTTGTGTGTGTGTGTGTGTGCAATTCATATTTTCTTCCCTTCATTTTTTCCTTCTCAAATGCTAAAAGTTATGTTTGGATCTTGACTTTGAAGGGACTTTTAGAAAAAGAAAGTGTTAATTTCTTTATGATACAACATATTTGATGTTACAAAAAAAAACTTTGATAATTAAACTTTCAATATTTTTATTTAATATTTTTATTTTTTAGTATTTGATAAATAAAAAAAAAAAACTTTGGATACAGAGCCACCATTAATAATGCGCCTAATGGAGTCCATTGATGAAGAGCATTGCTACACTAAGGACGGGACAGTTGACTACCTGAACCGGNTGTTCCAATCAATCTATGATTCTATATATAAATCCATGTTACGTAAGCTATCGTTTTGGTTTTTGAAACGTGTTTTAAATATCGTATCGTCAGTTAAATCGAACATGTTGTTTGGATCTCGATTTAACTGGTTTTAACAAGATTAATAAAATTAATTAAACTACCTTAATTAATGCTAAAGTCCGTTTGAAAAAAACATAAATTTTTTAATTTTAGATTTATGTGAAGTTTTTTGATTGGGAAATAAAAATGTAAAAATAAAATTCCGATTTTAACTAATTTTTTAGAATGTATTTGCCCAATATCCATGAATTTTCCGGTATGATATCAAGTATTTTTTTATTTTTATTTTTATTTTATTTTTTTTGCAAAAAATGATTTTTCTGAGGGTAACCATATCGGCCCAACCACCAGTATCTATTACGACCATATAAATTACTATTTTGGTATTTAAAAAGTAAATTTATTTATACTTTATGAATAAAAATTTCCCTTTTACTGAAAAGCTTACTTCATGCAGTGCATGAGTGTCTTGAAAGGTTAGCCTACTATGGAATGAGCTCAAATCTGTTGCAATATTTCAAAGATCAGCTCAATCAGCACAATACAACTGCTTCGAAAAGCCTGTCGAATTGGTCGGGAACTTGTTATGCTATGCCGCTAGTCGGAGCCTTTCTTGCTGACTCGTATCTCGGAAGATACAACACTATCGCCGGTTTTTCCGTCATCTATGTTGTCGTGAGTCTCGAATTAGTTCGTTTATTACGTCTAAATGTTTTTTTTTTTTTTTAACTTTTGTCCTTGTGGAAGAATATTATGTGTCCTCAGAAAAATTAGTTTTCTACCGATTTTACGTTCATTTTCCGTAAATGAAAGATTTAGAAATATCTCAAAACCCATTTTAGAATGAAAGAGAAATTGGTCTTTTTAGCGAATATATGTCATCTAATGTCTTTTACCTTTGTCCTTGCATAATAAAATTGTGTGTACTAATTCTGTGTAAGAAAAACTGATTTTGTATGGATTTTATCATAATTTCATGGAATCATCAGATAGTTTTCTTATGGAGTCATCCATCATTTAATATATTGACACCTGTCCAAAGTGTATAGAACCATCTAATGTATCGATGACTCCATAGCAAAACTGTGGATTTTATTGTTTGTTTGTTTGTTTTTTTTTTTTGGTTAAATGAAAGACTTGGAAATATCTCCAAAACTATTTTAACGTGAATGACAAAATAATTTTTAAGTGGTGTACGTATAAAAGTTGGTTAGAGTCGAAATCAAACAAGTTCGAATCTCAAAAAATGTCAAAAAATATTTTGGAACAATGCAGAAAACTAGTCGCGTCATGGATTAACGAGCACAAGTATTGGTCTCGTCACGACCCTGCGACACCTACAATGTTGTTCATTCTCCTATATCTTAAGCATCTAATTTTGAAATTTTCATAATCATTCCTTTATCTTAAAATTCGAGTTCTGACTCGTTAACATTGATAAATGAACTTACCTCGAACTCGGTTACATACTCTTACTCTATATTTCTCTATATTAACTCTTATTTCTCTATAAATAAGTCGAGCCAAACTCGAGCTTGATTACTCATTTACACTCCTAGTTGTTGTGTGGTCTTTCATTTCTCTACATTTCTCTATAAATGAGCCGAGCTCTAGCTCTATTTTACACCCCTAGTTGTTGTGTGCTCGCTTATTTCTCTATAAATGAGCAGAGCTCGAGCTCGAGCTCGATTTTATACACCTAGTTGTTGTGTGGTCTCTTATTTCTCTATATTATTATTACAGGGAATGACACTGCTAACTCTATCCACCTCAATCCCGGGCCTGAAGCCGACGTGCAACGAGAAGGACACGTGTCACGCGACCAGCTCTCAGGCTGGATTAAGCTACACGGCCCTCTACTTGGTGGCACTCGGCTCCGGAGCCATCAAGCCATGCGTCTCGTCTTACGGGGCCGACCAGTTTGACGATGAGGACGAGCCCGAGCGGGCCCGCAAGTCCTCGTTCTTCCTTTGGTTCTACTTCTCGATCAACCTTGGGGCCCTCGTGGCCACTTCCGTGGTCATGTGGGCCCAGGCCCGAGATGGTTGGGCCTGGGGTTTCGGCATCCCGACCATAGCCATGGCCGGGGCCGCGGGCTTTTTTTTCGCCGGGACACGGGTGTACCGGAACCAAAAGCCCGGAGGGAGCCCGCTCACCCGACTCTGCCAGGTGGCGGTGGCCTCGGTTAGGAAGTGCCGGGTGGTGGTGCCGGAGGACGGGTGTATGCTTTACGAGACGTCAGATGCTCGGTCCGCGATAGTCGGGAGCCGCAAGCTCGACCACACGGAACAATTTCGGTAACTTTTGTCCAACTTGTCAATGTTTCGCCATTTTTCATCTTGTTGACGCAAGCTAGGGTTGTAAACGAGTCGAGCTCGAGCCAGTAATCGAGCTCGAGCTTGGCTGGTTAGCATCCGAATTATAAAAAAATTGTGTAAAAAATCATTATTTCGAGCTTTATCGAGCCGAGCTGAGTCTGACTCGTTAGCTCAATGAGCTTTAAATGAGCTCGAGCGATAAATGAACTGAGTCGAGCTCGAAGTTTACAGCC